AGCCTGCTTCTCCCTCTCCCACTCCCCCTGCTTGTGTTCCTGCTCTCGCTATCTCTCTCTGTGTCAAATAAATAAAATCTTTAAAAAAAAAAAATTTATACAGCATTTTCATATTTACTAACTCCTACTGTGTACTAGTCTGAGATTTTCAAGTCCAGAAGTCACGTGTTACTCATCTTCCTATGTCCTTGGCTTATTAGTACAATTCACAGCACTGAAGAGGTGCTCACAGAATGTTGGCCAAACAGAACGGATTAATCCTTACAGCTCCCCCATGAGTTAAGGAGGACAAGTACCGGATCTCCATTTTAAAGGTAAGTTGCCTAAGGGTCAGAGAGCCTAAGTAACTGCTCTCGAATCATAGCGAGAGCAACAGTGGCTCCCGAATTCGGGCCTTCTGACTCCAGCAGGTGCTAGAGCTTCCGGTGTAGTCAGACGTTCAGGCTGCCCCTTCTGACACGGGTGCTGCTTCTGGAAACAATCCCAAGGAAGAGAATCTTTCCCTTTGGTTCTTCCCAGAGAAACGAATCCTGTCAACTGCTAGATCTTGCGAGCTCACCTAGTGAAGGGAAACTTGCCTACTTGCAAAGCTAACTGGGGATTCCCCTTTCAGAGTGAGGGACATTAGGAGAATCGATGTGAGAGGATTGCAGATTGGCTTTCCTGACCCCAGAGTCCATTGCCAGTCCTCCAATCACAGGGCGGTAGGCATGGAAAGTAACGGTTAGGAACCGTACTCAGAATGGTGCATACCCGAACAAGGCACAGATTAAACTCTGGGGAGGATCCAGACGTTAGGCAAGGATTTATGTTCTTTTAGAATCCGAGGACCAGGAAGGCAACTACAGTTGTGCCATAAGACATTTATAACCGAGCACGAATGACTTTATCCTGTTCCCTCAGGTTTGCTCATGTTTTTGTCTTCCCTCCCCGAGGCTGCTCGCTGGAGCAGGTTTAATTTGGCACTTTTGGATTCTCCTTTGCAGTGGACTGCAACAGCCTTTGGTTCACAGGCAGGGCAACTGTTACTTTTTCTTCTACTTGCAGAATTACTTGGGTTTGGCACATTGCAAAGGAATGGGCGATGCGTGATGTAATGCGGGCAGCCAGAGCTGGGCTGGAACGTCGGCCCGGCCTCCACGGTCGTCCTGAGAAACAGCCCCACCACCGCTTTCGCTGTCACAGGGGCCCCAAAGATGTGGGCAGCTGTCTCGAAGGGCCTATGTATTTGTATTTCAAACCAACTGCATTCAATATTAAATCAACTTAAAAATGTCAGTCATTCAATAGCGATCTGTTCTCTGGCAAATCATGTACCTTTTCCAAACCTCAGTATTGATCTTTAAAAGGAGAAAATCAGAACATTGTAGCTTTAAAGGCCCATTCAGATCGAAATTGTGATTTAAAATTACAGTGAAAGACTAAGGACTAAAGGGATGAGAAAAATTCAAGTGAGAAAGATTTCCAAGACTTTCAGAAGAAGTAAGAGCAAACACTGGAACAGTTCTGGAGATCTAAAGAGCAGTACTGAGAGCGAGCGTGGACCGCTGTGGCAGACCAGCTCTGCTCGCCCGCACGCCCCCTCCCCAGCCACCAGCTCTGCTCGCCCGCACGCCCCCTCCCCAGCCACCAGCTCTGCTCGCCGGCGCACCCCCTCCCCGGCCACCAGCTCTGCTCGCCCACGCGCCGCCTCCCCGGCCACCAGCTCTGCGACGCAAACACTTACCTCGACCAGCATATATACGGAGAGAAGTGTGATTCCGAGATTGTACAAGGTGAGGACGCCCCTGAGGGAAAGAGCAGGTCTGTTCTTCATGTATTTGTTACCCAGCCATATGGAAAGCAGATACAGGACAGTAAGAAAAAAGGTGGGAAGGTAGGAGTCCAACATGAACCATCCTCTGACTCGAAAATCTGAAAAGAAACATATACAGTGAGAATCCTGAAAAGTAGCACTTCTGTTTAGTTATAAAATTTTATCACATATATTTACAACTTTTTTGGATTTTTTGTTTTTTTTTTAATGGGGGTATGCCTGACATACAACATATGAGTTTCAGGTGTATGGCATGATTCAGTATTTGCAAATACACTGCAAAACGATCACCACAGTAGGTCTAGTTAACATCCATCACCTTAGTCACAAAAATGTTTTTTCTTTGATGAGAACTTTTAAGGCCTACTGTCACGTATATTTTATTTGTACATACCCAATACAACAAGCAAGAGTCCGGCATTGACTAAGCTGGATTTGGGTTACAGTTCAGAAGAACCACCCCATGGGGGTGGGAGTAGTTAAGGAAGGTTTCGTGGAGCAAGCAGAGCTTAGGCTGAACACGGAGTGACAGGGACAAGTAATTAAGGTGGGAAGTAGTAGTTCTAGTGTCTTCGTTGGAACAGTTAACGATATTTACTCTAACTCAATAAATAGGAAGTATTCCTATGTCATTTTGTGGGTGAAAACCAGCTCAGAAAGCCACAGTAACTTGCCAAGACCACACAATAGTGGACAGCAGAGTCGGGATCTGAATTCCTGTCTGATGCCCAGCCCATTACACCTGCTGCTGCCTCCTTCCGGGAAGTTTGGAGCAGGCAGGAGAGAAGGGGTATGGATAGTGTATACTACCTTCATAAAACCCACACTCTGCGGAGCTCACAGACAACCACTATGCGGTAAACCAGGCTGAGCTTAGAGTTCAGCCGAGCCAGAGCCGTGGGACTGCACAGCAAGCAGGGGAAGCTCAAGACAGCCAAGGCAAAGCGTTGGAGCTGATGATTCAGACATGTGGGCAGAGAATACAACCGAGGACCTAAACCTGACCATGGACTAGAAGTATAAACAGCCAGGAGGAAGGACCAAGATACACCAAGCGTTCCTTAGTCTGGAGAGTGAAAATGTAAAAATCTAAATAAAATACACAGAATAGTTCTATAATACAATTAGTAACATCTGAAAAGAACTATAGGCACAAAATGATCTTAGTTCTCTATTTTGCTCTTTTTCGTTGTTTACATAAAGAAAATAATTTGGCCCACAATTATAAAAAATAGAATGCTGTGGGATGCCTGGGTGGCTCAGTCAGTTAAGCGTCTGCCTTCAGCTCAGGTCATGATCCCGGGTCCTGGGATAGAGCCCCACAGCGGGCTCCCTGCTCTGCAGGGAGTCTGCTTCTCCCTCTCCCTCTGCCCCTCCCCCCTGCTTGTGCTCGCTCTCTCTCTGACAAATAAATTAGTTTAAAAAAATAGCATGCTGTTTTTAATCTCTGTAAATGGAGTTGGAAGGAACAGATTTCTCCAGCAGATCATGCCCTTTTCTTCCTGTCTCTGCTTTTCCCACATCTCTGCCCCTCTTTCTGCTCCACTCTACCTACCCTGCGCATCCCAACTTCCCTTACTCCACCCCACCGGATAGACAGTACCAAGGAAAGTGCCTTCTCAAGCCCTCACTGTCCCATCTCCTGTTCTGGAAACCCCTCTGGTTGTGACAGAGATAAGAAGTAGGAAAGGGGCTCATCTCAGCATCCATGTGACTAACAGAGATTAACTTTCATAGAACTAGGTGGTAATCACTAGTCATAAAAGTCTGTGGTATGTGCCTGTCACTTCCTAATGTCCACCTCCATATCTAAATCCTACGCAGCCTCTCAAGACCCGAAAAACATCCTGCCTTTTGAAGGGAGCCGTTTCCTAGTGCTCTTTCATAACTACAGCTCCTCATCTGCATAACAATTCTCATTTTTTTTTATTTTTTTTAAAGATTTTATTTATTTGACAGAGAGGGACACAGTGAGAGAGGGAACACAAGCACGGGGAGCAGGAGAGGGAGATGCAGGCTTTCCATGGAGCAGGGAGCCCGATGTGGGTCTCGATCCCAGAACCCTGGGACCATGACCTGAGCCGAAGGCAGACGCCCAACGACTGAGCCACCCAGGCACCCATTTTATTTTTTTTTTAAAGATTTTATTTGTCAGAGAGAAAGGGGGGGTGTGGAGACAAGCAGGAGGAGTGGCAGGCTCAGGGAGAAGTAGGCTCCTCACGGAGCAAGGAGCCCGATGCGGGACTCGATCCCAGGACCCTGGGATCATGACCTGAGCCGAAGGCAGACGCTTAACCGACTGAGCCACCCAGGTATCCCACAAGTCTCATTTTAGAATTATTATTATGGCTGTAACTGTTATTACAACTAACATTTACAGAGCACTAAGCCTTTTACATGCATTCACGTATTTAATTCTCAGAGCAATCTAATGATATAGATGATATTTCTAACAGTTTTACTGAGGTATAATTGATATACCTGCACATATTTAATGTGTACAATCTGATGTGTTTGGACTTAAGCAAACACCCACGATGCCATCACCACAGTCAAGGTAATAGACACATCCACCATATAGGTGATATTATTATCCCCAGTTAAGGCCTGAGAAAAATTGAGGCACAGAGAATAAAAAAGTTAAATATTTGCCCTAAACTGCTACCCTACCTCCTGTTACAGTGTTATGGATTGAACTCTGTCCCCCAGAAGATATGTTCAAGTCCTAACTCCTGAGACCTGTGTGACTGTGACCTTATTTGGAAATAGGGTCTTTGCAGGTATGACCAAGTTCAGATGATGTCATACTAGATCAGGTGGGCTCTAGTCCAGTGACTGGTGCCCTATATAACAAGGGGAGATTTGGACATAGGGACACAGGGAGGAGAAGCCGTGTGAAGATGAAGGCAGAGACTGAGGAGAGGCATCTCCAAGCCAAGCAACGCCAAAGATTCCTGACACCACCAGAAGCTGGGAGAGAGGCAGGGAACAGACTGTACCCTAGAACCGCAGAGGGAACACAGCCCTTCCAACACCCTGATTTCAGACTTACAGCCTCCAGAACTGTGAGAGAATAATCACTGTTGCTTTAAGCCATGTAGCCTGTGGTACTTTGTTACTGTGGCCCTAGAAAACCAGTACACATGGTTTACTTTCTTGCTTTCCAGTTGTTTCAGATGGGGTGGTTTGACTGCCCCCGCCCCACAGTATATGCTCTGTGAGAGAGGGCCCAGGCCTTCTACTTCTACTCTCACTTATGCATCCACTTAGTTCTGAGCCATTAAATATAGATCAACTGGCACAATGAGTCAAGCACATATTATAAAACTAATACAGCACCTGAAAGTTGTTTTCTTTTGTCATGGTCCTGTAAATGTTCACATTTGTCAAGGAGAATAACTGTCCCAACCAAAAGATAGAAACAAATACTTGTAATAAGATTATCTTTGGGACATAAGTGTTAGCTGTACATCTGTGTCAGATATCTGCCTCCAACAATATCCCTTGATGATAATATGGAATAAGTAAATATGGAAGAGACGAGGGGACACCCAGAAGTCTACGAGGTGGCCTGCCAGTCAACTTAAGCTTGTGCCACTTTTAGTAAAGGAAAACAGATTCTTGATGGCCAGATGCTAGATTCCCTGTCATTGTGGAGGTCACCTGATCCAGTTGTCAACAGTCAATCTTACAGTCTCCTCGCTACAAAAGAACTTTCCATAAAACAGACCAGAGCTGAGTAAACTACTGCAAGCCTATCCTTCCGTGACCCCCACCCACATAATTCCAGATCATGGTGATCTTAGTAAACACAAAGCTCAGTGCGAACTCAGGTCAGAGAGAACGCTGTTTCACTCTCCAGTGGCAGTGTCAAATAGAAAGCCACAGACACCAAGAAACACCGCATGCCCAAGTTAGAGCACTGTGCCCTCTGTGGGAACCGTTCTCCTTCCCACCCACGAGAACTGTGAGGCAGAGATCAGTCATTAAAGCTTATCAGATACAGATATCCTGCCCTGCCTACCCCACAGGATTGTCACAAAGATAAAATGGGGGGGAAAAGGCTACGTGAAAATTTTTAAAAGCTCCATACAGGGGCACCTGGCTGGCGCAGTTAGTGGAGCGGGTGACTCTTGATCTCGGGGTTGTGAGTTCGATCCCCATGTTGGATGTAGGGATTACTTAAAATCTTTTTTTTTTTTTAAAGCTCTATACAATCACAGTATCATTATATTAAAATTATACAAACAGTCATTCATTTAGGATAGCTTGTAAAGCCTATATACAGACTGAAGTGGTCTAAATAATCTCTACATGACTCTATTTAAAGATTTTTGAAAGACCGGAAAACCTCCTTTCCCTCCACCCCCTACCCAACAGTGCTGGGGAAATAACCTGTAGAGAACCACAGATTTTCCAGTCTGTGAACCAGCAGGGCTCAAGTGAAACAAAGCATGTTGTTTGGCAAATACTCATTCATCTGCAAGCTGTGTAGTGTGACTAAGATGTCCCCAGCGCCCTGAGAGGCGCTGGAGGGGACGGTGCCCCACTGCGAGATTGAGGTGACAGGGACGGTCGAGTGCGCAGGCGCGCAGGCGCTCCAGCCACAGCCTGGGCGGAGTGAGAGCGCACCGCTGAGACCGCAATCGCAGAGACTACGGCTGACTGCGCAGGTGCGGAAGGTGGGCGGTGAGTGGGCGGCGGAGAGAGGAGAGGAAGTCGCGGAGGGCAGGACAGCGGCGACTGCGTTGGTAGCCAGCGAGGCACCGAAGCAGAGCACCGCACCGCGCTCCGTCCCTGCTTGCGGCCCCAGGACTTTCATCCCAAGGAAGGTTGAGCAGGAGAACTGAGGCTTTCTGGATGTTCTGGGAGAAGGATATCAAAGGTGAGGGAAGTTCAATCTCTAAATGTTGAGCACCATCCTGTTTAAAAACACCAGAAGTGACGAAACCCTCTTCCACGTGAAGTTCTCGAGTCGCTTACTTACCTCGAGGTCCAAACATATTGTCCAAAAAAGCACTGATTTCATCATCAAAGGCCTTTAGATGCTCCTGAAAAGATAAGGAAAAAATGACTGAAGTGGGTTTTTTTGGGGAAACTCTCAAAACAGACCACTAACAACAGAACAGCGGCCAGAATCTCCCAGTCCTAGCTTCAGGGATTTCGGCTGTAAAGACTTTAGGAAAATGGACGAGTTAAATGCAGCCTCACCCTTCACGAGCTTGTGTGGATTTGGAAAGAATTTCTTTTTCCTTTCCTTAGGCAACAGGAGTTCTGGAAAACAGGCTTGGTACATTTAAACACTGAAGGGTTATTGACCTTAATTTCATTTCCCCCTAAAATGCTTAGAGGCATAAGCTTTCCCATAAGCAACGTCTATTGTTGCAATTAACAGAAGTTGTGTGCAAACAACAGGGAGGGTCTATACCTACAGAATATAATGTAATTGTTAAATGAAAATTCAGCTGAGTTGTATTTTACAAAGCTGACTCTAAAGCTTTAAAGGGGACTTATTTTTCAAATAAGGAAATTAAGCACTATAGCTATTTTCTTCATAACCTTCATATTTCGTTTTCAAAACCTTTTCTATACATGAATATGTATTTAATATCACAGTAAACAGTGTCACTAGGGTATATCAGATTATTACTGCCACTTTAAGTGGATTCGGGTTGGGATAGGAGAATTTCTGCTAAGAATCTTATGGTTGCAGTGTTCCTAGGAAAGGGATCTTTGAAGAGGAGTTTGGGGCCAGTGGATTGGTGAGCTGAGTGTGACAGCCCCCAGGACGTTCATCTAGAACATTCTGTATAATCAACAGTGGGAGTGCAGTCAACAAAGCATCTCATTTTCAAAGAAAGTATAAGTGCCAAAGAGGAGAATTAAGTTACTGGCATCTGAAAAGAAGATCTGTACTTTTGGTGATTGGCACCTACCATTTAGACCTATTTTTTTTTTCTTAAGATTTTATTTATTTGACAGAGACAGCAAGAGAGGGAACACAAGCAGGGGGAATGGGAGAGGGAGAAGCAGGCTTCCCACTGAGCAGGGAGCCCGATGTGGTGTTCAATCCCAGGACCCCGGGATCATGACCTGAGCCGAAGGCAGACGCTTAATGACTGAGCCACTCAGGTGCCCCCATTTAGACCTATTTTCTTGTTTGTGACTTTGATCCTGAGAAAATTTCAAGGAAACTTAGATCTTTGGTGACTTTAGGAAGCTTGGGAGAGTGGATGAGGATCAGTGGCTGACATTTATTAGCACCTACACCTGCTGGCCACGTATTAGGACCTTTATCATTTAATTGTAGCTCTATAAAAAGTATCTGGGCTAAACCAAGCTTGGAAGTTTTTATACAGTGTTTTGGTTTCTATGAAGGACATCTTGGGGAGACCTCTAGACTTGAGAAAGGTCACCTATCTCACATGTCAGTGTGACAGAATAAGATTTGTGTTGCCATTAGAAAAGAGCAGATCAATCCTGAGTCCTCTCATTCTTGAGCAAAGAATGTTAACCTCACTGATGAACCCACCTTCATAACAAATTACCAATGAAATCTTCCTTTCATTGCCACATCCACCCACACATGTTTAAACTTTTTCAGTCTGTTTGCTATGGTCCAAAATCCATTTTCTCACATCTGTAGGTCTAAGAAAACTCTAACTAAAGGTTACAAAGCTTGTATTAGTTCTATAATATTGCAGAAATTTAGTCACAGTGGAAGACCAGAAATAAAAGAGAGGGGAAGATATGGAGAGAGAGCAGAGTGGAAAAACTGAATAACAAAGGGCATTCCACACCATTACCCTGGTAACAAAACCAGAGGACACTATAAAAACAAAACAAAATAACACAACAACAACAACAAAAAACCCCCAGAGGCCAGTATCTCTGATGAACTAGACACAAAAATCCTCAACAGAATATTAGCAATCGATTCCAACGACACATTAAAAAGGATCAAGTGGGGTTTACTCCGGAGATGCACGGGTGGTTCAATATTTGCAAATCAATCTGATATATCACATTAACAAGAGGAAGAATAAAAACCATATGATCATCTCAATAGGTGCCAAAAAAGCATTTGACAAAATACAACATCCATTCATGAAGAAAACTCTCAACAAAGTGGGTTCAGAGGGTCCATACCTTAACATAATAGGGGCTGTATCTGAAAAACCCCCTAGGAGCTAACATCATACTTGGCAGTGAAAAGCTGAAAGCTTTTCCTCTAAGATCAGGAACAAGACAAAGATGTGCACTCTCACCACATTTATTCAGTATGGTTCTATGAAGTTGTAGCTGCAGGAATCAGGCAAGAAAAAGAAGCAAAAGGCATCCAAATTGGTAAGGAAGAAGTAAAACTGTCACTGTTTGCAGATGACATGATGCTACAGATGGAAAATCCTAAAGACTCCACCAAAATCCATTAAAATGGATAAATCAGTAAAGTTGCAAGATACAAAATTAACATATAAAAATCTGTTGCATTTTTATACACTAATAACAGAAATCTAAAAAACAATCCCATTTACAGTTGCACCAAAAAGAATAAAATACCTAGAAATAAATTTAACCAAGGAGGTGAAAAGACCTATACTCCGAAAACTTTAAGACAACTGATGAAAGTTGGTAAGACACTGATAAACTGGTGACACAAACAAATGAAAAGATACACCATGCTCGTGGATTACGAGAATTAATATTGTTAAAATGTCTATACTACCCAGAGCAATCTATAGATCAATGCAATCACTATCAAAATACCTACAGTGTTTTTCACAGAAATAGAATAAATACTGAAATTTGTATGGAACCACAAAAGACCTCAAACAGCCAAAGTAATTTTAAGAACAAAGCTAGAGGGCGCCTGGGTGGCTCAGTTGGTTAGGTGACTGCCTTCGGCTCGGGTCATGGTCCTGGAGTCCCAGGATCGAGTTTTGCATCGGGCTTCCTGCTCGGCGGGGAGTCTGCTTCTCCCTCTGACCCTCGCCCCTCTCATTCTGTCATTCTCTCTCTCTCAAAAGTAAATAAAATTAAAAAAAAAAAATAACAAAGCTAGAGGTATCACAGTTCCAAATTTCAAGACATACTACAAAGCTATAGTAATCAAAACAGTACAGTACTGGCATGAAAACAGACTCAGATCAATGGAACAGAATAGAGCCCAGAAATAAACCCAAACCTATATGGCCAATTAATCTATGACAAAAGAGGCAAGAATGTACAATGGGAAAAGACAGTCTTTTCAATAAATGCTGCTGGGAAAAATGGACAGCTATATGCAAAAGGGTAAAAGTGGACCACATCCTTACATCATACACAAAACTAAACTCAAAATGGATTAAAGACCTAAATGTGAGACCTGAAATCATAAAACTTCTAGAAGAAAACATAGGCAGTAATCTCTTGGGCATTGCCCTTAGCAATATATTTATGGATCGGTCTCCTTAGGCAAGGGAAACAAAGCAAAACTAAACTACTGGGACTATACTAAAATAAAAAGATTCTGCACAGCAAAAGAAACCAACAAAACAAAAAGACAATCTACTGAATGGGAGAAGATATTTTCAAATGAAATATCTAGTAAGGAGTTAATATCCAAAATATATGAAGAATTCACACAACTCCCTACCCAAAAACAAATACTCCAATTTAAAAATGGGCAGAGGATGTCAATAGACATTATTCCAAAGAAGATATACAGATGGCCAAAAGACACATGAAAAGATGTTCAACATCACTAACTGTCAGAGAAAATCAACTGAAAACATAAGGAGATACCACCTCACACTCGTCAGATGGCTACTATCAAAAAGACAAGAAATAACAAGTGTTGGTAAGGATGTGGAGAAAAGGGAACCCTCATGCACTGTTCATGGGAAATTAAATTGGTGCAACGACTGTGAAAAACAATATGGAGGTTCCCCCCGAAGTTAAAACTGAAATACCATAGGATCCAGTAATCCCATTACTGGGCATTTACCCAAAGAAAACAAAAACACTAATTTGAAAAGATACATGCACCCCTGTGTTTATTGCACTATTATTTACAATAGCCAAGTTATGGAAGCAACCCAACTGTTCATCAACACATGAGTGGATCAAGAAGATGGATTATTATGCAGCCATAAAACAGAGAGATCGTGTCATCTGCGACAACATGGATCGACCTAGAGGGTATTATGCTATGTGAAAGAAGTCTGACAGAGAAAGACAAATACCATATGATTTCACTTGTATGTGGAATCTAAAACACAAAACAAAAAAAGAAAATGGACTTCTTAAATACAGAGAACTGGTGGTTGTCAGAGGGAAGGCAGGTGGGGGGATGGGCAAAATAAACAGGATTTAAGAGGTACAAACTCCCAGTTATAAAAGAAATAAGTCACAGGGATGAAAAGTACGGCATTGGGAATACAGTCAATAATATTGTAGTAACGTTGTATGGTGACAGATGGTGACTACATTTATCATGGTTAGCACTGAGTAATGTATAGAATTGAATCAATACATTGTACACTCATATAACATTGTATCTAAATTATACTTCAATAAATAAAATAGAAGGGACATTCCAGTCTTTCAGTCATTAATGTATTGATTCATTAACCAATTATCTGAACATTACTATGTGCCAGCACTATGTTAGATGCTGAAATACGAAGTCAAATGAGACATGGTACTCATCTTTACACAGGATACTGACAAGTAAATCAATAATTACAGTATTAATGTCTTAAATATGAGAGAAGCTTCAAGGATGTACTGTAAGAACAGAGAGGAAGAAAATATTCAGCCATAAAAAGGAAGGAAATCTTGCCATTTGTGACAACATGGGTGGACCTTGAGGGCATTATGCTAAGTGAAATAAAGAGAGCAAGACATACTTTCTGATCTCACTTAAGTGTAGAATCTAAAAACACAAAAACCAAAATCCCAAATTCATAGGTACAAAGAACAGATTGGTGGTTACCAGAAGCAGTGGTATGGGGGTGGACAAAGTGGGTACAAACTTCTATGTAAAATGAATAAAAATTTGTAACTATGT